AGCGAAAAGAATGCGCGAGGGTCGTACAAAAAGCCAGGGGAACTCCTGATCGCCCTCTTGCTATGTGCGGAGGCTCGGGGGCTCTTCCTGCAACCTTGCCGAGACCCAGCGACCTAGGCTCGCACGCGAAGGGCTCGGCAAACAACCCCTCCTTCCGAAAGCGAAAAAGATGCGCGAGGGTCGCATACAAAAAGCCGGGGAACTCCTGATCGCCCTCTCGCTTCGTCTGCGGGCTCTCGGGGCTCTTCCTGCAACCTCTCACACCCCGAGGGTCGGAAAAATGCGACGAAAAAGGGCACCAAGCCCATTACGATCTAGGGGTACGAAGGATGGGCCATCCAGGGCCTCGACAGCCGCCCCAGGACAACAGAGTCAGGGACAACTATGGGCGAGCCTGTACATGGCCGAGTTCTAGGCAAGCGATTGCTTGGGATGCCCTAAGTCATGTCCGAGACCAGCAGGAGTTCTCTAAAGGGGATCCCACCGTAGGGAGGCACCGAGCCCCTAGGGCCAATCGAACGCCCCTGGCACCCGCTAGAGAAGCCTTCTTCGGTACTTTTTTGAGTGCGTCTACGGACCACTAGCCGACCCCTATCAAATGGGGCACGGGCCTCCACTCGGACTTACCCGATAAAAGCTCACCGGAAATGTCACCGCTCATACCACCGAGGGTAGCTCGCATGTTCCACCCTCCTTCCGAACGAAAAAGGGATGCGCGAGGGTCATACAAAAGCTGGGAACTCCCGATCGCCCTCTCTCGCTTCGTCAAGGAGGCTCGGGGCTCTTCCTGCAACCTTGCCGAGACCTAACGACCTAGGCTCGCACGCAAAGGGCTCGGCAAACAACCCCTCCTTCCGAGCGAAAAGGATGTGCGAGGGTCGTACAAAAAGCCAAGGGAACTCCTGATCGCCCTCTCGCTATGTGCGGAGGCTTGGGGGCTCTTCCTGCAACCTTGCCGAGACCCAGCGGCCTAGGCTCGCACACGAAGGGCTCGGCAAACAACCCCTCCTTCCGAACGAAAAGGATGCATGAGGGTCGTACAAAAGCGGGGGAACTCCCCGATCGCCCTCTCGCTACGTCATGGAGGCTCGGGGGCTCTTCCTGCAACCTTGCTGAGACCCAGCGGCCTAGGCTCGCACACGAAGGGCTCGGCAAAAAACCCCTCCTTTCGAACGAAAAGGATGCACGAGGGTCGTACAAGAAGCCAGGAGAACTCCTGACCGCCCTCTCGCTCCGTGCGGAGGCTCAGGGGCTCTTCCTGCAAACCTTGCCGAGACCCAGTGACCTAGGATCGCACGCGAGGGCTCGGCAGGCTCGGGGCCCTCCTCGCACCCCCAAACGAAAACAAGCGACCCGAGCTCGCTCTCATGGGTCTAGCGAATGCGATAGAGCGCCTTACTCAATGAAGAAAAGGCCCTAAAGGAGTAAACTCACTCCTCTAAGGCCTCGGGGGCTACACACCGGCCGGGTGTGCTGCACACCCACCCAGTAATCGTGAGTATAAAACAAACCCAACCAGAGCCACCGAGAAACAAAAGTCTCGAAAAAACCTCGGGAGAGTATCCCACACCCCTTGAGGAGGCTCGGGGCCTTGTGCGGATACCGTAAAATGGGGTACCCCAAGTAAAGATCGAAAAACTGCTTAGACCCTAAGAATGTAACCAACGGAATAAACAAAGCGAGGTCTCGGCGAAATCTCGATTCGCCCGAGACCCCACGCCGAGCCCCAATGAGCGAACGATTCTCCGACTACCCGAGACCGCCTCGCCGAGGCCCCCTCGCCTGAGGCCTCGGAAGAAGTGCCGATTCTCCGATTCGCGTGAGGCCAGGCGGCACCAGCCCCCATGACCGCCTCTTCGACCAAACTGCTTCTCGACCGAACGTCGCATCCAAGTGCCCAACCACTCCGGCAGACGCGCGATGGCACGAAGATAAATGAAGTGACCGACTACACGCCAACAAGGTCAACCTCCACGCCATCTGCGACGACGCAAGCGAGAGCGGGGTACCGACCACCGTGTCTTGCCTAACTCCTGCGCCAAGGACATCGCAACGTGGGGAGTCGAACGGGTTCCTCAGTAGCCTCGGAATCGGCGGACCGACCGCTCGGCTCGCCGAGCCCCTCGACAGGGCCTCGGATTCACTGATCTTACACCGCCGCCGTTCGCCTCGCCGGAGACCCCCCCGGTAGGCCCTCGGATGAATTGGCGCACTTTCTGCCTCGCCGAGGCCGGGCTTGTCCCGCAATCTCGTCGCCTCCGCCTCAAAAGGTCTCTCCGGCAGTCGTCGCATCCAATTAATGCGCCACCGCACCCGCCACGTAAGCCACGATCGGCGGTCGGTAAGGCCGCAACAGAGCGATGGGACAACGGTCGATCACCTTTTTACCATCCCTTATCGACAATACAGTGTACCGTATCCCAGTAGGCGCACGTCTCGCACTATTCCGCTTTGATGGCACCGAGACCGCATATTCGCACTGGTCACTTCTCGAGGCCTCGACACGGCAGGCCTCGGCTGCAACAGCCTCGGCACGACGACCGGCCACGATGGCAGCCGAGCCTCTACAATCCACCAAGTCAACAAATGCGCGACATGTTACTTGCAATGGAGACCATACCGATTAGACATCTCACGGGAACTCCCACGACAACGCCATCTTTGCTCCGGGAGTAGATCGTCATCGAATAGTCCGCTCCACGTGTAGCTCTCTTATGTACTCCTGGTTTCCTCCTCGCGACTATAAAAGGAGGGGGGGCGAGGACCGTTCTAGGGACGGCGGATAGAGTCACGAACACTCATGCGCGAACAACACGCCGCATTACGTAATTCATATCACCTCCCCACAGAGACTTGGGACGAACTCCCCTCTCGCCTAGCTTGTAACCCCTACTACGAGCACCCCGGTGCAAGGAATACAAGAACATCTTCTCGGCGGATCGGGTAGGGCATCCATTGCCCGAACCAAAGATAAACCTTGTGTCTCTCTCTCACATCACCATCCGGAATTGGGAGCACGCAAAGACAAATTTACTAGTCGGTTAAGGACCCCGGTTCAAAACACCGACGATGAGTGTTAGGAATACCCCTCCACCGGATAGGAATCGATTCGAATCGTCGTCTCTCCGGATAGTGAGAACTTGACCGAGCAAATGACAACGTAGATTCACTAAATTTAAAGATATGGTTAAATGATGATGATGATGATGATTATGATAATGAGCCATGAAATACCTGATATGGTTATTATTGTTTGCAACTTAATTAAGTGATTGATTAGTACAGGTGCTAATATAGATGATAGGGAATGGCTAAAAGTCACTGCTAGTATAGGTGGATAATGCTAATGATTACTCCAGCTTTTATGCAAAAAGGTTGTCAGCTCAGCTCCACCAAATAAAGCTTTGCATAATCCTTGGTGTCACTTTATTTCTAGTTTATGACGGGTAAGTCTAGCTGAGTATATTCGAGTACTCAGGGTTTATCCCACCATGTTGCAGGTGGAGTTCTCGGCCTGTTGAAGATGGTGGCTAACCGTCGGTGGGCTCGGTGATTCTATATTTACTTCTCATCTATATATTTTTGTCTAAGGATGTCACTTATGCTAGCAATGTATTTGGAACTTATATTAATGTAATCATTTGAAAGCTATGTTGTTTTCAATAATCGATTTTGAAACCCAAACTTGTACTATTATTTGTGAACCCCTTTTGTAATATTATTTCCGCTGCAACTCTACGTGTGTGATGTGTATTTGCTTAATCATACGATCTTGGTTGTGATGTTGATTTACCGAGGTCTTTCGGGACACTCGGCGGATTACCGGGTTTATATAAGTGAAAGTATGTATGTGTCAACGTGTTAGCGGGGACAGCCGTACTTGATCTTGTATAAATTGGACGGTTCTGTCACAGCATAGTTGTTTAGAGTAAATAAGAGCTAACTACTACTACTGTCTTTTTTCTCTTCCTCACTGCAATAGCAGCACCCGTCATCATGAGTTTTGATGGCGAGCAGAATGCTTCTTTTCTCCTCACTCGCCTCGGACTTCGCAAAACCACGGCTCGAGTGGATGCTTTTTTCCCGTGTTTTGTGAAGCACGCGATTCTTTTCCTCTAGAACGGCTGGCTACTTTCCTCCATTCCAAACGGTGTATGACGTTAGCAAAACAAAGGAATGAAATTCCTTTGAAATTCGTGTAAAAATCCTCCAATCCAAACAGGTCCTTACTATTGTCGTAGGCAAATGTGTTACTACCACATTAAGGACCTACATGGAATATTGTCATTTTCAGGCACCAAACACCGCATAAAAGTGCAAGTCAAAGTTGGGGGGGTTTAGAACTAGTGTCGTAGGCAAACGTAATGGACCTGTTTTTTTTCCCTCATATATAATGCAATGCAGCTATTTGAGGTGTCCTCTTTGCCAACAAAGCCTTGAAAATGCTGGTCCTTAGCAGCAGGTTTTTGTGGTTCCAGTTTTCGGTTGGCCAACAGAAATTCGCAGTTTGAAATGATTCGGATCATCAGCACAGAAACTAGCTACATCCGTTAGCATTTTACCTTCTGAGCCTCATGGCGCTGCTAATTGCTTGCTATCCCTCTTCACTTCTCCTATATTTGAAGTACCTGATTTTTCATTATTGTTTAGACAACATGTAATTTATCATTGTTTGACTATAGGAAAAAAATTAAGTTGTCTTTTGTGAGTTATCATTTTACCAGTACTAGTTGGTTATCTAATTAAAATTGTCACCTGAAAATTCAGGCACCTGAAATATACTGCTAGTAACTTCCATATCTCTACTAACCCAAATGGCATCAAACATAGCAACCTCAGCCTTTGAAGTGACAGCAAATGTTCAAACATTTTTGTCGAAGACGTGTACCATGTATTCCATTCACAGCAAAGGAATCATACATACACTGAATTGCAGAAACAAAGAAAGAAATCGCTGTTGATATTTACACCATTGATCACAGTTCGCACCAACGGAACCGTTACCAGTAGTCTCTGCAAGTGCAGGCGCCGCGCCTGAACCGGTGGAGCCGGTTCCGGTCCCTGACGACGATCTCTCGCCTGAAGATCTCCGAGATCAGCGCGCTGTACGCGTGGCATTCCTTGCTCATCCGGAGGTTGGTCACGACCCTCACCGGCGCCCCCTCCGGCGTGCTGAGCAGGCCGAACGCCATGGCCAGCTTCTGGCTGTGCGCGGCGACCACGCGCCGCTTCTCCTCTTCGCCCACGTCCAGCGCCACCTCCGACGTGTCAGGTTTGTAGCCATCGAACCGCAGCTGCCACTCCATCTGGTGGAGCATCTCGTAGATGTCGCGCGTCCGCGGGTGCGACATGTCCTGCGACACGAACCGGTGCAGCACGCCGCGTACCTCCACGGCGCTGAACCCGGGGGATTGCGCTAGGCCCCAGTCCACCGCCTCTGTCCGGAACGCGGCGGCAGCGTCCCAGTTCTTGGCCCTGGCGTGCATGTCCGCGACGATGACGTAGTCGCCGGCGTTGGCGGCGCCGAGGCGCCTCAGCTCCTCAAGTGCGCGCTCGGCGAGATCCAGATCCCCGTGGATCCGGCACGCGTTCAGCAGGCTTCGCCAGGCCGTGTCTGTCGGCCCCGTGGGCATGCTCCCGATGAGCTCGCGCGCGTCGTCCAGCCTTCCGGCGCGGGCCATCAGGTCCACCATGCAGCCGTAGTGCTGTGCGTTGGGCGCGACCTTGTGCTCCAGCCGCATGCGGTCGAAGCACCGCAGCCCGTCCTCGAGCAGACCGTCGCGGCTGCAGGCGTTCAGCACGCCGACGTACGCCGCCGCGTCGGGCGCGTGGCCTTCCCTGACCATCGCGTCGAACACCTGCAGCGCCTTCCGCCCGTCCCCGTGCAGCACCAAGCCGGATAGCATGGCGCTGTACGTCCACGCGTTCTTGCCGTCCATCGCGTCGAACACCGCCGTGGCCTTCTCGATGCTGCCGCACTTGGCGTACATGTCAACCAGGGACGTCTGCATGATGGTGTTCAGCCTCGCAGTGTTTCTCAGCAGCGCGCAGTGGACGCTCCGCCCGACGTCGAAGGAACCCAGGTGCGCACACGCCGAGAGCACGCTGACCATGGAGCTCTCATCGGGCCTCCACCCATCGAGCACCATGGCGCCAAACAACTCGAGGCATTCGCGCCACAGCCCGGCCTTCGTGTACGCCGCGAGGAGTGCGCTCTAGGAAGCCGTCGTCCGCTCCTCGGCCTCCACCCGGTCAAATGCCACACGAGCCATCGCCGGCTCACTGCACTTGCCGTAGAAGCTGATCAAGCTGTTTTGCACGTGCTTGTCGTACTGGAACCCAAGCTTCACGATGTGCGCCTGCAACTGCCAATGGAAACAAAGAAATGTCACACCCCAGCGGCTAGCGTGTCAACGATTGCAGAAGAGCACACTGCTTGGTCGAGTGCGAGCTGAAGCTGTCACCTGCCTCCCTTCTTGCAAGGCCGCGAGCTGCGCGCATGACTTGAGTACAAACGGGAACGTGTAGCTGTCAGGCCCAACGCCCGCCTCCAGCATGTCAACGTGGCCGCGCATCAGGGTGTTGTAATCGAAGGCCTCTGGCTCGACGAGCGACTCGAAGATGGACGCCGCGAGCTCCATGCCGCCCGGCCAGCCCGAGAGCGCGCACGCCGCGAGCAGCGGCCGCGCGTGCCGCGGGCAGCGGTCGAGGCCCAGCTTGATGTGCCGCGCGTGCGCCTTCCTGACCTCGTCCAAGCTCCGCACCGAGACGGCCGCCGCCGTGCCACATGGCTGCGCCTGGTCCCTCGGCCTCTTCTCCAACGCCTGCGCCGGTGCCGGTGCGGCGGTTCTTGGCGTGGCGACCTGGTGCGTCTGCGCCTGGGACAGAACTAGACCTCCCACCATGCTAGCACCATCGGCGAGCGGTGGAGCAGAGGCAGTGTGACGAAACTACCATTGCCGAACCGTGGCCGGTGGCCACATGGAGCTCTTGTGTTCACAAGATTCGGTTACCGCGACGAGTAAAAATCGCGTCTCTCTCTCGCCGCCGTGGTCGCCTTGCTCGACCTCACTGTGTGCAGAGGTTGCAGTTGCAGATATGGACACCGCGCTATTGGGCCCCACGTGCAAGCGATTTGTGGCTGGAGAGCAGCGCTGGGATTTTCTTGAGCTGTTGAATGTCATCCAGGAGTTGGAGCGGGCAAATGGCAGCTGGGCGGAGGCGATGCCGCGACAAACCAATTAGGTTCAGGATAAGGTCCAAGTCCAACGGGGCAGCCACCAAACAGTCCAATTCCAGACTGCATAGGCCCACCTACCAGTCTCTAAACATGTTAACAGTTGCGGCAATGTAAAAGCTTCTTGTTTGGTTTTTCGCTAACTTTGCCCAGCTTCTGAATTGAATAATACTGCACATTACTGAGTACTGAGTACTGCGCCCCCCCTCCTCCCTCCTCAATTAGCATCCTTACACATTACTGAGAAGCTTAGAAAATTGTATATGGAACGAGTAGGTGGCACAGAATTTTCACAGAAAAAAAAGACATTATCATGAGAGAGGCCCTAGGTAGTGAGGAGCTCATCGGCCTATACAGATCTCCCCATCATCTGTGACCCTATCTTTAAGGTGGAATTATATGAATTGCCTTAGACATCCTCAAATGCGTCTTCATCATCGTCACGAAACATGGCTACCATTTTCATGGCTAGCTTCGAAGCCATCTTCCTCCTTTGGCAACCAGGCATGAGCAAGTTGGATCACATGTTGCCAGCCTCCGATATCAACTTCGCCATGTCATCTAGACCATAATGCTCGTCCTCGAAAAGGTGGTTAGCCTCTGGAACGTCACTTTGATGATCATCTGCGCTAAATACATCGGTTCTGTGGCTGAGTTACATTGTTTTCTGTAGCAGTTTCCATCGGTGTCACTCAGAAGAGGGTTGGATAATGGCCTTCACAACTTGATCTGTGCGATCCTACATACCATCAGCCTCATCCGATCTTTCAAAGCTTCTGATCTACATGTCTCAATAATGAATCCCCACTGGCCATAAGATCCATGGGACAGGATCTCATACTAAAAAATCATAGTTGGATTCATCATTTGTAGATTCTGTCAGAATGAAAATGAATTATAAGGGACATATAATACATGATTTTAAATTGAATAATGTATAGTAGCATACTCGTGTAGAGATTGCACGACATGTTTTCTCTAAAAGAGGGTCAGCAAATTATAATAGCTGAAGTTACTTTGATAGGGACCTTAGCATGCCATGCTATAGTTTTTCAGTAGCACAGCACAGAAGAAGCAAGGCTACCTACACTCCAGTGCCAATTTAGTCCGTTATGACATAACCTACCATCCTTTTGAACCAAGGATGGAGCAGTAATTCCGCTTCCTGAATTCAGAATTATCCCAAGCCATATATGTGCAGAAAGAGCACCAAAGAGCCGCTCTATGTTCTTGGCTATCACCATCCACAGATAGAAACACACATGACTCCTATAGGATGTAGGCCTTTTTTTCATTGAAGTCCATAAACATATAAGGTTTCATTGGTACAAAATAATTAATTCATACTTTATTCAGAGTTCATGATAATGAATTGATCACTGGAGACAAGAAATGCTCGGTGGCAAAGATGTACTAAAAATTTGAAGAAAAAAAAACATTTAAAGGTTTACAGCCAAAGAGATAGCTTGAACTTTCAAAGTCAGCACTGGAAGCACACGCCTCAGTATCTTCTATGTACTGCTCAATGTGCCACTGTGAGGAAGAGTTTCTGATCTCTATGCATAGCTTTTCCTCAGATAACTAGCCACGCACCTCAGTCCCTCACTTTCATTTATCCAAATATTCAGGGTGTGGATCAGAATTTGACTCCGAAGCCTTTTCATATGCCTCCTATATTCTACATTTGCACCATGGCCAAGTATAAAATATGTTTTCTCTGCAGACTAACATTGGCAGCCCAACATTGGAGAGTAAGCAAGGAGGATTCCTGCATAATTATTTGAGACAATTACCCTGATTTAGTATTGAGGATTTATGATTGGACCCAGAAAATTATAATGTTAGATGGAAAACGAAATAAAGGATGCATGAGAACACAGGTTCAGTTTGGACGTCACTCTTACCGACGACCATAAAGAGAGCAACCAACCGGTCAAGATCAGAGAAGGAACCAACTAACCAAGAGAAAACTCTTCACCAAGATTTGTTGTCCAGATGGAAAAATTAGCTGGGTGGTACTTCGTTTCAATTGTTCACCTGCATGGCATTCAGTAGCAAAATAAATTATATCAAGTATCAGAAGACTTTGACTGAAAACCATGCTTTCTACTTATTTTAAGTATTTGACATCACTCACAAACAAAAAAGGTCACTTGACATGATGCTTTCATATAACCCTAACAAAGCACATAGGATGACAAATCATGTGCGTAAGATATTTCTGACAGAAGCAAACCTGAAGTTCATGGTGAAAACAAAATGAACAGGAAATAACAAGCATCGCCACCAATAAAAAATACTAAATTTTATGATATCTGTAGATCTTATTTTAGCAAAGCATAACTTAAATATCTGCTGCACAGGCCAAGAAATTCATCAATTACCAAACTAATGGATGAAACTAGAAGTGCTAATTTATCAGCTAGGGTACTTTTTCCTCTATCTACTCCAAAATCAACACCCTGTTTGCTTTGTCCTTTCAAAATACTGGTGGACCACGGGATCTTCTTCTCCTTATCCCTAACAATAAGGAACACATCAGATTCGGATCCTAAATAGTTTAGCTACACTACCCACTTGATATTTCACATTCAAACCGAGAAATGGAAGTATAAAGAAAGGAGAATAGAGAGATCTCACGGGAGTTGCTTGCCGATGCCTAGGGCACTAACAGGGAGGACACCGGGCACCTCCAAGGATCCCTTGATGGCCTCACGCCAAATCACTGTGCCCTAACACCAGATCAGAAACTCTCCGGTTTTGTTTTCCCCACTACCAAGCGGGAAGGCCGATGTGACACAAGAGCAACAAGAAAACCTGGTGCCCCTGCAGACCTTGTACTGTCGGCGTCGCACAACATGAGCAGCACACCTTATACCCCTGGACAAGACATACCCACTGCACTCAGCCCTACCATCAAAATCCATGTATGTTTTCCACCTTTTCTCTCTCCACTCAGGCAAATGGCACACTTGTCAACACAGCAACAGATGGCCGCAATAGCAGCAACATCCCATGCCAACAGCACAAACCACATCCCTTGCCACAATATATTCTGCTGCCTCTGCAACAATACTTATCTTATTGCCTTGGTCCAAAATGGTTACATTGTTGCAATCATCAAGGACAGATCAAAGCATCTGGTGCCTGTGGGGATCCTCTCTTCAGTCATATATTCTAGTTAACAGTTAACAAATTCCATTCCCTGTGACAAGACAACAACACACATTGGTACCATTTTCAGCTGCAATAGTTTGCCAACCTTATTGCATCCATAAGACCACAACCACGGGCAAATGTTTTCATAAATCACATAATGGCAAAATGCTCAAACCCCAATCAGTAAGCTATGCACTGATGATGTTTACCTGCCTCTGAATATCCACACTACTGATTGCCATCACCGAACAACACCTTATAAAACCGCCTCCTCTCCTCCCTTTTCTCTGCACTATCCAAGCGCGCTGCTTCCTCATCCTCCACCTCTTTCTCTTTCTTTACCTCAACCTCCCCTCCCCTCCTCTTCTTCTCAAAATTCACCGCTTGCCGCCGTTGGTTATACTCATGCAGCCCCTCCTGCATGAGCTCCCCGAGCCGATCCTTTGCCAACACCACCGGATCCTTCTCCTTCAGCTCTGACCCCTCGTAGCCCTCACGGAGCACGACTGTATGTATCTTGTACCGATTCGACATGTAAAAGAGGCAGGGGTGCCGGAGCAGCATCCTCACTGTGCCCTCCGGCAGCCCAAACTCCCTCCTAAAATGCTCCAGCTTCAAAATTGACATCTTTCTCCACAGGGTGAGAGAGAGGAGCTCGTGCACCACGGCCACCGCTCGCTTCTCGGCTTCGGCGTCTGTGCCTGGCAAAGCCCACTCCACCGAGTAGGGCGAGATGTAAGGCGTGGAGGCGTTGAAATCCTCCATCTTGGCGTGCGACTTCATCCATGAGGCCGGTAGCGAGCAGGTGAACCGTGGGGACGAGTCGCTCGCGGCCGCGGCGGCCTCGACGGCGGAGACGGCGAGCGAGGGCGCCCATCTGACGAGCTCTAGCTCAGCGGCGTTGCGGCGGTGTGGGTAGGGCCGTAGGGGTTTGTGAGGCGGAAGAGATCGGTGTTGGCGGGAGGAGGCGGAGGAGGTAGTCGTCGGGGAGGCCGAGAGGGCCCCGCAGCGCGGCGAGTTTGGAAACCTGTAGGCGGCGGCCGCGGGCGAGCATGAGCACGCGCGCGAGGCGGTCCGCCATGGCCGGCTCGGAGGCCGCGACGGCAGCTTCCTCCTCGTGGACGAGCGCCGCCATCCGCTTAGTGAAGCCGAAGTGAGGCTCCTGCTCACCGCCACCGGTGTCGGCGGAGAAGACCTCGAAGCAGGAAGGGTACTTGCCGAGCCAGTTGGCGGCGCGGCCCATGAGATCGAGCGTCTTGAAGCGGGATTGGAGGAAGCGCACGGGCGCCGTGCGGGACGGGAAGCGGAGGAGGAGGCGCTTGATTTGGTTGTTGACGACCCAGCGGCAGTTACGGCGGAGTGCCGCCTCCAGGGAGGGGTCCTTCGGGGACGACCACCGCGGCATGCTCGGCGATGAGGCACGGCGGCGGACGCGGCCGGGATGGCGCGTCGAAACGCCGCCGGAAGGGTTAACGCGAGCGGGCTCGTGGGCTTCAGCCGTTGTCTGCGAATGGGCTTGCTTTAACGTTTGGGTGACTTTTCTCTGGGTAGTTATCCTAGTTGGGCCTTTTAGTATCTATCTTTAACTTTCGAATCCAGAGTTCAAGCTCTGGCTTATCATTGGGCCACGTCACTGACGAAGCTCAGCCGTTGGATCCCCTATGCTGCCTTCGATCGAGCCGTTGCTCTCGGGTCCTCGACCATACTGCTCTCATGACTCTTCGCGAAAGCTCGTGGGCTGGTGGCGTTGGCTTGCGGCCGCCGCCGGCACCATCCTCAAGCTTTCCCTGCCCGCTCCTCTCTCCATGAGACCAAGGCTCTATCTTCTCCTTCTTCCATTTACCTCATGCCTCAGCCGTGTTCAGCGAGCGCGTGTGATGGCCTTGGCCGCCTCGTCGGGCACGTGCCGAGACCGCGCCAGCAGTTCTTGCGGCCCCAGGAGCGACGGGCAGAAGCAAATCGCTCACGGTGACGAAGCTCAGGTGCTCGTTGTCGATCCTCTATGCCTGGCCTCTCTGATCGAGCCAAAGTTGCTCTCGGGTCCTCGACCATACTGCAAGCATCGCTGGCGCCAGACTCTTCCAGCAATGACGGCGCTGCACTGGTGGCGTTGCTCGCTCCTATGCCACACAGCCGCACCCCAGCACCATCCTCAACGCTTTCCCGATGCCCGCAAGGTCCCTCTCCACCTTCTCTGCTGACCATGGCTCCACATCTTCTCCTCCTCTTCCACCGCGCTCGGCCGTCATCCGCTCCACCCTCCTCCCATCCCCTGCTCAACGCAGCCTCCACCCGCTCCAAATCTTCCTGCAGATGCAATGGTGTTGCCTCGTCGTTGGCACGTGCCGAGACCAAGCGCCAGCAGTTCTTTTGCGTAATGCCCCAGGTATATGCGACGCTATGGCAGAAGCAAATCGCTGGCAAGTGCGGTGGAGACCCTGACTGGCTCCAGGTGCTCGAGCAGTCGAGCTCTCCTCTCCCTGCCTGGCTCCTCTTCTGATGGACGCAGGCAGGCAAAGATGCCCTAACGTCGTCGTCATGAGGAATAAGGCAAGCATCGCTGGCGCCAGAAAAAAATGCCAGCAATGACGGCGCTGCACCATCCTCACGCCCCTGTGCTCGCTCCTATGCCACACAGAAAGCGATAGCAAAAATTCACCCAGCAGCTGCTGCAGCGATGGCGCTTTGCGATTGTCAACGTGATTGCTCGATAAAATGCCTCGATTTGTTATTGGTCCCTTCTCCACCTTCTTCTCCCTGCTGCAATTGACCGCCGTTGAGAGGGTCTTGCCACACCGGCGCAAGATGGGGTCCGTCCAAATGCGCTCGGCTAAGGATCAGGACATCGCTCCACCAAAGCATTCCCATCCCCCACTCAACGCAGCCTCCACCGGACAATTCAAGCTCCAAATCTTCCAACGATGCAGATGCAAAAAAAATGGTGTAAAATTTTGAATACTCCACCGTTTGGTCCTATGGAGGCACGTAGATTTGAGCGCAGGGGCTTGCTGCTCCTCGTCGGCCCAGCGGTGAGGCGGCGTGCCATGACACAGATGTAGCTCCCCGACGAGACGCACGTCACCGCGACTGCGTGCCACCGGCATGGACGCGGCCTCACTGAACCGCCGGCGTTAGCAAAGGGCCCACCGACAACGACGTCAGAGACGAGGCCGTAAGTGTGTGCTTTCTCTGCCCCCATCTCCATGGACTCTGCCTCCATACATGCTCAATATGCCCGTACATCTTGGATAAGAATAGAAGATAGCAAATCTCCGTGCTTGTACTGCGGCTGTGATGAAGTCTGCAGGTGAGGTGATCATAATATCAAGTGGTTCCAATTTGTCTTTGCCCTCCCGTACTCCAGGAAAGCTTGAGTTTGTATGTCATGTGTTTGATAAAATGGCCATATCATCATGATATAAATTGATGAATCCCATTATTCCTAAGTTCAATCTATTAGTCTCTGAAGCAAATTTCTATTAGCAGGTACAAGGATCAGCGACTATGGGTATTCATTTGCAAAGATGTTTTCATTCAACAATATTCAGATTTCATATTAGGTATACATCTTCTCAAGCTTTCAAGATTGCAAGTACAAAATTTGTTCAGAGACTTAATCATTTTGCTATAAGTATTGAATTTAGTCATTGCCTTCAAAGTCAAACTGAAACTAAAGACATTTCTGATTTTTTGTGACCAATTCAGTTTGAACTAAAAGAACACAGAAGCAAATGGAGAATTATGGCTTGTTCTTTTCTCAGAATATAGCATCATCTATTACCAAATACGTGCACTGTTCCACTGCTCACTATTTTTATTTAAATGCAGCACATATATTCATCCATTGCTAATTAAATGTAGCACATATGTTCATCCATTGCTAAAAAAAAAATTCTAATTAGAGTTTCCATCTTCCCCCAAAAAAGGGCATTGTTCCGACGCTTCCACTCTCTCCGTGAGCTCCATCTTCTCTACTGCATAGTACTCAGATCTTCTGTACCTGTCAGCTGTCACAGATAGATGATGTGGGGGTGGTATGCATGTGCTGCTTCTCATATCCTCAGCTTGTTAGTCGGCCGGTGCGGTAGTCGTCCACGTGGAGCCAGCACCAATCATGTCTGCAAACCATAAGGTAAGTGCTGTTTATATTCACCAATCTTTGCTTGATTTGGTTGAGAATTTTAGAAGCTGCTTCCATAGTTCCATTGATGCTGGCTGCAAATATCTGCATTCAAATTAAATTAGCAAAAAATCTAAATAGAAGATTTAAAATTGTGATCCATTTTCCTAGATAGAGAATTATGAATTGAGAATTCTTTCCAATCTAATATATCCCTGCGTTTGTTGTTGTAATATTGGGTTAGACAAATCTAAATCTAAGATTCTGATTAAATCCTAGACTACCACCACAGTTTTTTTTCCTGAACAAGCATGCACCAAGTTATCAGCTTAAATGATTTCCTACTGCCATTAACCTGTACTGATGTTAATATGTTACTTAATTCTCTGTGCTCCCTAAAATACACATATACAGAGTGGAAAGATTAATGAATTAACAAAGCAAGATTGTTTACTGTGAATGAACTTCCTCGTTTCATTTCAAATATGAACCAAAAGTTACAATGTTTCATTAAGCAACGATGTAGACCTGAGAATGTGCCTATATATCTGTTCTTCTCCAAAATAGTAAAAATGCAAGATGAAGGAACATGCCATGTTATGTCCACGCAACAGTTCAGGTAGATGCTCTGTGATGAATCTACCGAAGCCTCCTTTTACAAATCAAATGGAGTTTGCATATTACTTTTGTGGAACAAACCTGATCACTTTATTGCTTACGTGGAGTGGTATGTTGTTGTACCTTCATTTATAGAATACATTTTCATTTCTAGATAACCTGTACTAAATAACTAAAGATCAGCTTCCAGAAAGTCTGCAAGTGATGGATTTCTCATGTATACCTTCCTTCATCTCTGTTAGGCTTCTCCCTTGGGCAATTTTTTGGAGTACTGTAGACAAGAACAGCCTGAAGGAAGTAGAATAATTATGGATGCTTCAACGATTCAGCACCAAAAAGTACATGCCAACATTTTCCATTAAATAACACAAGTTATACAGACAGCACTGTCAGCGGGAAGCAAACCTAGCCCCAAACTGCACCTCAATAGGATAAGTTAGAAAGAAGCTTACCGAACTGAGATGGTGAAGATGACCAATGGATATGATATGCTTGCAAGATAAATTAAGCCTATGTTATTTTTATTTTCAGTTGTAAAGTAAGATTTCATGAACATATTTTTTTGAGAACGTGCTTAGCACGTGTTTCATTAAGAGATTGGACACTCAGGTTCCCAATGTTCGAGAAGTGAAGAGCAACATAACAGTTTTTGCTTATATACATATGAAACCATCTCCGGCTATCGTCAGTTCATTTACTATCTTTATTCCTCTAGGCATTTTACTCAAAGACCTGGTTTGTGGTTTCTGATATTGCTGAGGGATTTTTATTAAAAATTTATAGTACTTGTCTTTATTCTCATTGAGAAACTCACTTATGATCTTTTTTTTTTTGCCATGCTAGTAATGTATATTACCTCTTTTTAATGTGTGATTGCCTGTGGTATGTAGATAATTAATTATATCCTTTAATATAATAAAATTCAGACTATGTTTACGGAAATACAGAACCTATCTACATTCCAGCAACCAAATTTCATCGCACTGTAATTTTACAGCTGTGAGATCTTGCTGCTCAAATCATATAGTTTAAACAAGACAATGCAATTTCAGGTATTAGAGATAACATTTTTTGCTCAGTTTGAGTCAAATGTCACTGGAAGACAATTACATTTCTTTCTTCTCTTCTTTCACTTACATAATGTCAGAGCTTAATGTACGCTATGAAGCTGAAAGACTTTGCAATGTCAACTAAAAGCATATTTTTTTAGAAGAATAAATGATCCAACATATTTGCGCTTATGCTATTGGTACACAGCTGCTTTTCATGTCCTTGTATTCGCTGATACAAAATGTGACTCCATTTCTTTTTAATTGATTGAAGTAATTAGGCAATCAAACAAATCAATTTCTAAACATCGTAAATCCCACACGGAATCACCACGGCTGGCTCAAGATGGCGCGGCGTTGCCGTGCCCGGGTTTTCTAGTGACCATCGGGTCAGTCGAAGAGCGCTCTCTCTCAAAAAAAACATAGAAGAGCTCTTTCCTTTCCGCCTCCCGGTCTAAAAAAAAGCGTCAAATTGACAGTTTATTCCATTTCCTTGTTACTGCCTTCATTTTAAATTAAGACGTTTAGCTTTTCTAGATACACTATTTGCATATATAATAAAAGCTACATATTTAAAAAGTGTCTTGTAATTTAGAATGAAGAGAGTTCTTCGTTCAT